ATAGTACTGACTCAGATACTCCATGCATGCTGTAAACTAGCACTGCTATAGTACTGACTCAGATACTCCATGCATGCTGTAAACTAGCACTGCTACAGTACTGACTCAGATACTCCATGCATGCTGTAAACTAGCACTGCTACAGTACTGACTCAGATACTCCATGCATGCTGTAAACTAGCACTGCTACAGTACTGACTCAGATACTCCATGCATGCTGTAAACTAGCACTGCTACAGTACTGACTCAGATACTCCATGCATGCTGTAAACTAGCACTGCTACAGTACTGACTCAGATACTCCATGCATGCTGTAAACTAGCACTGCTATAGTACTGACTCAGATACTCCATGCATACTGTAAACTAGCACTGCTACAGTACTGACTCAGATACTCCATGCATGCTGTAAACTAGCACTGCTACAGTACTGACTCAGATACTCCATGCATGCTGTAAACTAGCACTGCTACAGTACTGACTCAGATACTCCATGCATGCTGTAAACTAGCACTGCTACAGTACTGACTCAGATACTCCATGCATGCTGTAAACTAGCACTGCTACAGTACTGACTCAGATACTCCATGCATGCTGTAAACTAGCAATGCTACAGTACTGACTCAGATACTCCATGCATGCTGTAAACTAGCACTGCTACAGTACTGACTCAGATACTCCATGCATGCTGTAAACTAGCACTGCTACAGTACTGACTCAGATACTCCATGCATGCTGTAAACTAGCACTGCTACAGTAATGACTCAGATACTCCATGCATGCTGTAAACTAGCACTGCTACAGTACTGACTCAGATACTCCATGCATGCTGTAAACTAGCACTGCTACAGTACTGACTCAGATACTCCATGCATACTGTAAACTAGCACTGCTACAGTACTGACTCAGATACTCCATGCATACTGTAAACTAGCACTGCTACAGTACTGACTCAGATACTCCATGCATGCTGTAAACTAGCACTGCTACAGTACTGACTCAGATACTCCATGCATGCTGTAAACTAGCACTGCTAAAGTACTGACTCAGATACTCCATGCATGCTGTAAACTAGCACTGCTACAGTACTGACTCAGATACTCCATGCATGCTGTAAACTAGCACTGCTACAGTACTGACTCAGATACTCCATGCATGCTGTAAACTAGCACTGCTACAGTACTGACTCAGATACTCCATGCATGCTGTAAACTAGCACTGCTACAGTACTGACTCAGATACTCCATGCATGCTGTAAACTAGCACTGCTACAGTACTGACTCAGATACTCCATGCATGCTGTAAACTAGCACTGCTACAGTACTGACTCAGATACTCCATGCATGCTGTAAACTAGCACTGCTACAGTACTGACTCAGATACTCCATGCATGCTGAGGGTCTTTAATTTCTTTATCTCAGGCAACAGATGTGCTTATTAAAACAACTGATTTGGCTATGGGTCTAGGGGTATATTTTAATCTACATGCTGAAATAAAACAGATTTTGACAACATTTTAACCATTCTGTTATTAATCAAAACCCTGCATGCCACTAAGCCCGAAGGGTATTATCAATGTTCATGTTTATTAGTCACATGATAATATGTTATGCTCTGGACAAAAATTAAGTATGAAAAAAAAGTTAAAAACAACAAACAACTATAGAGTGCAAAAATAGAAATATATAGAAGTTCTTAAGCAATGCTTTTTTCCTCTATATGATGTATAAAGATGTATCAATCTAAGAAATTTCAGGTTGAGATATCCAATGCTTTTTTAGTTTTACTCGGGTGCTATTTCATTTCTTGGTTTGCTAATACCCACTATTAACCTGAGAGACATGTGTCGTTCGGATGCGCATCATTATATCACTCGGGCTACGCCCTCGTGATATAATTCCCCGCATCCGAACTCCAAACAGTGATGTTATTGAGCAATAAAATCACAGTTTGGGATATATTATTTCTTAAATAAATTAATTCTTTTCAATACGTCATATTGTTAGGTAAATCATGTCCCCCACATTTTTCAGTAGAGTGGAAAACAAGCCCCCTATTATTTTGAAATTCTAGATGCAACACTGCAAATATCGCAAAATTTTATTGTAATAAGTTTTCATATATATCACAATATATTGAAGCTATAAACTTTTAATAATATTCTGTTAAAGATTCGATGGTATTCACCTTGTATTAGCTTGACTTAAAAATTAATGGCATTTATATTATGTTGTTTTACAATGTTTTTTTAACAATCTTTATTACCACTATCAGATGACAAATATCAGCGATACATAGAGGATATCTGTTTGTTTGTGTGTAAGATGAAATTTTATTTCATCGAGTGGGCTTTAAAAAGTTCACGAGATGAAATAAAATTACATCTTACACAACAAACAGACAAATTTTCTTTTTATTTTATCCTTAAAAACAAGTTAAAACGAAATTTCCATAATTTTAACGTTAATATTAAAATTTGTTTCCCCTATTGAGAGCCCCATTTAGACGGAATTTCACATTAAAAACAAGAAGTCTTGAGCTGAAAAATAAGTCCGCCAATCAAGGTTAAATGACGCTGATATTTATTCATTTTATAAAAAAAATATGAATGATCGCTTGTTTTAATAATAAAAACACGCTGATATTTATTCATTTTATAAAAAAAATATGAATGATCGCTTGTTTTAATAATAAAAACAAACAATTCTTGTAGGAGAAAAAGTCCAACCATCCATCCATATTTCTGTTACTTACTGCGAATTTATATTAGACCTGGCTTTGTAAAATGTAAGCGGCAGCCATTTTTTAAAGTTTTGTATTTCATGGGATGAAAATAATTGTGTAAGATTCAGAGGGATATAATTTGGATTTGTTAGTCATACACCTTTTTAAAAGAAAGAAAACTTATTTGAGGATTGTAACAGACAAAAAAGTGTTGACAGAAGTGAAAACATTCAGAAAAGGAGCTAGGAAAATGGAAAACTTGGAAGCTTAGCGGAACGCTTGGTTGTTTTACTTATTTTACGAGTGATGGCTGTCGATGCTTTTCAATTTTTCATAAAGCATACGGCAGTTATTGCTCGTAGGATACTTTAATATGCCCAAATGTCATCAAGAGCAGTTTTGCATTGGGAAGGAATGTATTTTTCAGACTGTAAAAACGAAACAAAAAAAATTAGAGACGAAATTTGGTGATTGGAATTTGAATGAATAGAAGTAAGTTTTCTCTCTTTATTACTTTTGACATGTAAGTTATTTATCTATTTCAGCTTTGCTATTTCTTTTAACAGCCTGACATTGTCAGAATTGTCAGTAAAAATAAAATTGAGGTACCACATGGGGAAAATCATAAACAAGTAGTTTCGTCATTGAAAAAAGTGAAATTATATTTTGATAATTTTCACTGTGAAATTATCAAATATAATTTTCACGGATAAATCAGTAATCCACTGAAAAGCATAAAATAAACCAATATATCGATAAATACTTCTTATTTCTTGTATATAATACTTTTTCATACTTGTTTAATGATTTTAGTAAAATATATGTTCTGTTCATGCAAATATGTTGGGTCTTGTCGTTTGTAAATGACATTAGCATGTTTTTTTTCTGACCAGACCACTTTTTGTCATCACTGCTATGAAATGTGTCCATTACGTAATAACAGATTTGTTAGACATAGCCACCTGCTTTTGTATATGTTTTTAGTGAATTTTCATAATTTATAGACGTTTAAATAATTAATCAAAACAAGCAATTATCATAGTATTTCAAGCAATCCATAAGTCCCCTACCGGTTAGAACCCCAGCAACATTCTGATTTCAATTTTACCAGTGAATGAATGACATAAATGAACTTAAATCTTTTGAGTTCTATGACATGAATGAACTTAAATCTTTTGAGTTCTAAGTTTGTCTATTTCACAGTAATGTGTTAAGTTTCCCTGCCTAGTAAGGCAATTATGTTTATACAACCTTGTCATATTATTACAATGTGGGATTTTAAAGTAAATCCTATAAGGAATGAAGAAGTTGGAGTAAAAAATACCAATTTCTCGAAAAAATCTAAGTTCAAGGGGGACATAATTCTGGAAATAGTCTTGCTAGAGTATTTAACCTTCTCAAAAATGTTGAGTGATAATAAGAAACATATATATGAAGTTTGAAGTAGATACATTAGGAAATAAAGAAGTTATTTAAAAAAGACAACTTTTTTTTTCCATAAAAATTCTTAGTTCAAGGGAGGTAATACTGATAAGTTTTGTGCTAGAGTTGTAAACCTTGTTACATTTGATGTGGTTGATGACCAGAAACTTATATCTAAAGTTTGAAGTAAACACCTTAAGAAATAAAGAACTTATAGTGAAAAAGCTGAAAAAATTAAATCAGAAATCTTGAAATCCAGGCTATTTGTTGCCATAGCAACCAGAATTTTCAACATAGGAAGAAAAGAAAAAAATGTGCATAATCTGCAGACTGCCATCTACCCATATTTTATGTTTCACAAAAATATTTTCAGTACTTTTTGAGTTATCACTGGATCTAGTTTATGTGTTATATTTGCCATATTTTCAGACTATTAGTTGCCATAGCAACCAGAATTTTCAACATAGGAACAAAAGAAAAAGACGTGCATAATCTCCATACTGCCATCTATCCATATATCAAGTTTCATAAAAATATTTTCAGCACTTTTTGCGTTATCGCAGGATCCAGTTTTGTGGACGGACGGACTGACAGACTGACAGACAGACAGACGGACGAGGGTAAACCTAAAGTCCCCTCTGGTTAAACTGGTAGGGGACTAATAAACAATTTTTTCAATGTGTATCGTTTTTCGTTTTCATTATATGCATATGAAGAAAATCAATGATCCCAAGAGCGGACCAATTTTGACCCCAGGGCCGGACGGACACCGCAAAAAAAAGCGATCACAAAAGCTCACTATGTCACTTTGTACCAGGTGAGCTAAAAAGAAACAAGTCCTTTATAAATCTGGCATCATACAGGTTAAAGGATATTTTGAATGGCCCCTCTGGCCGATCCTTTTGCTTCTTTCTCCAGGAAAAAGACTCTAACATCTTGCCGAAGTCCGCGTGTCTGATGGGTTGGTTGGAATTCATTCTATAACAACAAAAACAACAATAAATACATGTAGTTCAAAACAATATGTCATTTACAACATTACTTACTACTTGAGATGGACCTCCTTCCATTATAGTCTCAGGTTACTGTACTTAAAGGTTCTCATTGACTGCCATACAGTGACCTTCTTTTGACTAAAATTTCATATCTTTGGCTAATACTCCATGGAAATAGCATGGAGTAAATAATCACCAAATTGTGCTTCAAAATTAACTCTCAAAGGGCATGACTAGCGACATATTCGTGGTCCATACTCGGCAGCGAAAGCTGGATTTTGTACCCTTACGGCAGATGGTCCCTCATTAAGCATAGACTACCGCATACACGCTTCAGTTTGATACAATTGAATAACTTGTGTAGGTATGCAACTGTATAATTTCAGGGACTTTTTGGCTTATTTTATAGCCGATGTTCCGTCATTTTCCCAACTGAGAATAGTATCTTATTTTCCAAATCCACAAGAAAAAAATCCCAATTGAAAGTTAACAAACAAGAGGGCCATGATGGCCCTGAGTAAATCACCAGAAACAACTGCTTTTCAGAGTTGGAAATTATCCATTGTCAATATTTTCTGATATCTAATTTGAGCATAGAATATGTTTAAACAATAATTTGAAGAAATGCCATGACCTGGGGCATTTAACCTTTAGCTTAAATGGGGCTAATCCAATTAATATGAGCAAACTTGATAAAAGACTACCTAATAATGCAAAGTTTGGTGATCATCTATCAATTATTTCAGGAGGAAATGTTCAAAGGTTTTTCTATTTTGGCTTTAGTGTCCCCTAAAAGGGCACACTTAAATAAATATGAGCAAACTTGATAAAAGCGTACCTAACAATGCTACAAAGTTTGGTGATCATCCATCAATTAGTTCTGTAGAAATAGATGTTTAAAGGTATTTCTATTTTTAGCTCAAGCGGATCAAATTAATATGATCAAAATTGATAAAAGACTACCCAAGAATGCTACAGACAAAATTTGGTGATCATCAATCCATTAGTTCTGTAGAAGAATATGTCTAAAGGTTTTTTCTATTTTTAGCCCTAGAGACCCCTAAAAGGGGCCAATCAAATAAATATGAGAAATTTTGATAAAAGACTACCCAAGAATGCTACAGACATAGTTCAAAAATGCTACAAAGTTTGGTGATCATCCACCAATAAGTTCTATAGATATAGATGTTTAAAGGTATTTCTATTGTTAGCTTTAGCGGGCCCCTAAAAGGGGCCAATCAAATCAATATCAGCAAACTTGATAAAAAACTACCCAAGAATGCTACAGACAAAGTTTGGTGATCATCCATCCGTTAGTGCTGTAGAAGAAGATGTCTAAAGGTTTTTCTATTTTTAGCCCTAGAGACCACTAAATTTAGGGGCCTATCAAGATACAAGAAAATTTATTTTACGTCGGATACATTTAAACAGAAAGCATTAGCTCATGAGCTATTTTCCAACAAACAATAGTATATGAACTAAACAAAAGTAAAACAGCTATAAAACAAGATTGCATTTGAGAAAAATGCTATGCCACCGCATTAATACAACACTAAATAGTAGTGTATGATCAGATTTTTTTGTTTCTATACAATCGAATATTGTCATAATGCAAAGATCACATTTTTTTACTATATGTACATAATGAAAATCAATGACCCCTGGGGCGGAACCAATTTTGACCCCAGGGCTATAGTTTGAACAATCTTGGTAGAGGTTCACTTCGCAAAGTCTCATGCCATATATTTAACCTCTAGCCTTTGTCAAGATTTTTCAAGTTTTAACTTTATACATATAAGGAAAGCTATCGCCTCTGGGGCAGGGCAATTTTAACACTAGGGGCATAATTAAAACAACTTTAGTAGAGGACCCATAGATGATATTATATGATATTACAGTGTTTTTTTTCTTTATATAACTACTACCCTAAAACGGTACCATTCCCAATAGAAAATCGACATTAAAATTCCCAATTTCCACTGTTAAATTCCCAAAATGGCTGTTCAAAATGCCCACAAGGCCAAGTGATTTTTCTAAAATCATTTAAATCCAACATATTCATATAAATCACCACTCAATAGTTCTATTTTGACAGTAGGAGCTGTTAGTTATCTTTATTCACGATGTCTAATCTCATTTGTAGCTGAAAAAATGCATTAAAAAAATTCCCAATTTTAGTCAAAATAACACATTTTTTTCCCAAGGCCATCCTTAAAAAAATGTTTGTTTGCAGTAACCCGACCCAGAATTTTCAAGGTGGGTAGGTAGGTCGATTTTTTTTTTATTGAACTGTACTCCAAAATAAACATGGAATTTCAAAATGCTGGACAATATATAAGCCTTTGATAATCTGGTAACAATAAATTGATAACTGAATTCTAATTTAATAAGACCTACATTTTATTTCTTCTATTATCCTATAAAAGAACGAAAACAAAGCACAAGGCATAATTTTCTGATTCCAAAAAAAATAATTTTTTATCAAGACCATGAAAAAAATTTTTGGTTAAGGGCAAATTTTTTGAGTCGGTCGCGTTACTGCAAACGAACATTTTTTTAATGATGGCCCAATCAGTCTGGTACCGGCACCATTCCCAAAGTAGAGAAAAAAACCCGCTGTATTATATACCAACTATCAAAGCTCTAAGCCTTGTACCTTCAGACAAGAAGTTTTTTAATTTTTTTACTATACGAGGGTTGTTCGGAAAGTTTTGAGACAATATGATTTTCTCTGTTTCTAATTACAGCTGCGAATATTATTTAATACAAATTTTAGCTTAATATGTTATTTATCCGAGTTATGTCTTTAAAACGTTGTAACGTTACTATGCGGCATATAATCGTTTCCATAGCAACACCTGTCTACGCATCCTGGCGCACAGACTATTTTCTTGTTATAAGTTTTCTTACTGAATAAAAAGAGCCCCTAAAATAGCGCCAAACGTCACGAAAATTTTATGACGTCACTTCCAACTTAAGGACGTCATTTCCGCAAGTTGTTTAAGCCGTTACCGCAGATCATTATAGCAATACGTGCGCGACAAGACAACGACTATGGAAACACCGTCAAAAGAGGAACAGCGCGTTTTTATTAAGTTTTGCGTTAATCTTGGGAAAACGCCAACAGAAACTAAGCAACTTCTACAACAGGCAAACAACGGACGTACTGTTAGTCGACCATTGGTATTTAGATGGCATAAAGAGTTTCGGGATGGCAGAAAGTCAACAAAAGACAAGGAAAGGAGCGGTCGCCCATCCGTCATTTTTGGCCATCAAATCCGAACTACAAGGAATCCAGTTTGAGGACCTAGTTGAACTGCGCTCTAGAGTTATGGGCATTATTGCAACATTTAAATCTGACTGGTATAGAAATGTATTCGCCAAGTGGGTTACGAGGCATGAGAAATGTGTACGTTGTGAAGGAAGATACTTTGAAAAGGAGTAGCAGTTGACTTTTCTACGGTGACGTTAAACTCTGGAAATAACGGCAACGTCTGATAACGTCGTTGCGTGCGCCGGGTAACCGTTAGTGTCTGTGCCTAATGCTTTGTAGCTTTTGTATACATTTAGCTACTGTTACGAAATTTTACACTATAATAGATGAGGTATTAAAGTAATACATTGTAAACTCTTGTTTGATTTGATCTTTTCCAACGATAAATATTGACCCAGTCTCAAAACTTTCCGAACAACCCTCGTATGTACATAGTGAAAATCAAAGACCCCTGGGGGTGGGGCCAATTTTGATCCCAGGGCTATAATTTGTACAATCTTTCTAAAGGTTCACCACACAATGTTATTGCAAAATATCTTAACTCTAGCCTTTGTAAATTTAGAGAAGATGACTTTTTGTGTTTTAACTATATACATATAAGGAAACCTATGGCCCCCAGGGCGGAGCTAATTTTAACACTAGAGGCAAAATTTGAACAACTTTGATAGAGTACCTATAGAAGATATCATTTAACAAATATTAAAGCTCTAGGCCTTGTACCTTCAGACAATAAGATTTTTTAAAATTTTATTATATGTATATATTGAAAATCAATGACCCCCGGGGCGGGGGCAATTTTGACCCCAGGGCTATAATTTGAACAATCTTGCTAGAGGTTCACTTCACTATGCAAAATATCTAAACTCTAGCATTTGTCAATTACTAGAAGAATTTTTTTCACTAAAAGTTTTTAATATAAACATAATGAAAACCAATGACCCCCGGGGCGGGCCGATTTTAACCCCAGGGCTATAATTTGAACAATCTTGGTAGAGGTTTACCAGACAATGCCTTATGCAAAATATCTAAGCTCTAGGTTTTTTTGGGTCTTTACAAGAAGGTATTTTAAGTTTTTACTATATGTACATATAGTGAAAGTCACTTTCAATGACCTACGTTTAAGCCTGGTACTAAGTTACAAGCTACACAATAGTTATGAAATTACTTCATACCATGAGGAAGCGTTCATTAGTGTTGCAGCAGTCTGTCTTTTTGATGCTCCATGCTCCAGAATCTCGTAAACTTCATCCTTGCTCTTTACCACTCTCTCTTCTAGACCATGAACAATGACTGATCCCTGATATAAAGGAAAAATCAATTTCCTCAAGCAATTAAGAACTATTTATAACTAAATTATTATTAAACGAGAGCGATCAGAAATCACATGTGTCGCCTCATGATGGCCAATTTCATGTTGGGACAAATTTTGTGACAGACAGACAGACGACAGTGCACAACTAGACTTGGTACTGATCATTCCTGTAAAGTTTGGATAAAATTGCACCAGTAGTTTATGAGGAGTAGTCCGGACAAGCTTTTGTGTATCTGGCAACACACAGAAAAAAACACCTTTTTGTCAAAGGGCCATAACTCGGCCAAAAATCATTCAACCGGAAAACCTGTGCAATATGCGCAAGGACTTGAGCTACAGATCAATCCTGTAAAGTTTCATTGAAATTGCATTAGTGGTATAAGAGAAGTAGTCCGGACAAACTTTAAAATTAAAAATTATTAAAGGGCCATAACTCTGACAAAAATCACTGAACCGGAAAATGCTGACAATATGCACAACTAGACTTGGTACTGATCATTCCTGTAAAGTTTGGATGAAATTGCAACAGTAGTTTATGAGCAGAAGTCCGGACAAGTTTTGTGACGGACGGACAGACAGACGGACGGAGGGTTAACCTAATGTCCCCTCCGGTTATACCGGTAGGGGACTTATAATAAGCTTATTATCAATATACAATGTACACAAATATAAGAATATTTACACTTTCATAACAAATTTTAAAGGAATAACTTGTTGAGTTACAGATCATTCATGTAATATGCAAATTCAAGTAACTACAGAACAAATTAGATGCTACATCAAATAGAAATAAATTTTTGAAAAAGAATTCTTTCAATTTCAAAGTTCTCAAACAAAGTGCATATCATCAATTAATTTGAATTTTGCTCCATATATTATTATAACTGAATACGCTGGCACCACATTTTAATGTTAAAGTTGGGGTCCAAATACAAATGGAGTCTAATATATAAATAAAGCTAATCACAAGATTGGATTGTTGACAGGTAGAAATTCATTGTATTACCCCAACAATGTTTCTGTTCATATACAATTGTAAATGTTTTGTTACACGATTTCAATCATTAACATCATTAATTTTGAAATAATAAATTTATTTCTTATTCTGATTCATGTAAATAACTGAAACAAAATTTGCAAAATATTATTTTGTTATAATGTACTGAAAATGATATAAGAATATATAAAAGATTTATAACTGTTTATTCCTTTACTTCATAGAGATATGTAAATTATTGCATTGTATACCCATTGATAAGAAATATTTTTCTGAACCATTCCTGTGCTTGCCTAATACAATAACAAGCATTGTTTCAGATATTACATGAATTGAACAAATCTGTAGTAAGTATTCCAAAAACAGGATTTTATAAATGTGGAAGTCAAATACTCTGGTTAATGTTATAACCATCTGACAGTGTACTTCTTATGTGAATACATTACAAAACTTCATACCTTTATTTTTGACTGACTGTCTTGTGGTTTGTGATGTTGGCTCAGGTGCTGCTACAGGCTGTCTGGCACTACACAATGTTCTTGTTGAAGCTGCTTTCTTTGAAATTGGGGCTTTCTCCTATTATATATGTAACAACTAAACAAGTTACAAAAATAACATAATTTCTTGAAAGTGGAGAAATATTGAAGAGTTCAAAACAAAAATAAACAGGTTGCTCCAATTAAATTTTGATTTAGCATACATGTATTTCCAATATCAACATCTAACTAAATGTCAATCAAAACATATGTAAATGGCCAAACTAATTGAAACTTGAAATGAGGTCATGGAAACCCCCATGTAACATTTTTTACTGTCTTTGGCCAGACAGACAAGTGCTAATCTACAACCCCAAGTTTGTGGTGGCATAAAGATGTCTACCAAGAGTAATGTAGATCTTTTTAATTCAATTAGCCCAATGTGATATTACAATATATACTAGCTGTTTAGATGTTAATAATGTAAAAACAAGATTACCAAGCTCCCTTGCTACAAAAGGTCACTATTTCAACAATGAAGTCACATTGGGTTTGTCATTTATTTTTACCAAAGTATCATAATTTTCAAAATATTTGTTGATGTGTGCTACTTTAATGCTTCATGACAAATATTTAAGCTCAAGGGAATACAGTTTCAAGAAGAAATATTAATGTGTTTTTCTATACATGTCTATATTATATATAAAGTAAGTCAAGTAACCCCCAGGTGGGAATCATGATTTGTGGAGAACCAAAACGGTTAGGCTACATGTCATATATCTAAGCTCTATGAATTGTACATATTTTCTGACAAGATTCCTATAAAGTTTGGTCAAAATCGACCATGTAGTTTAGGAGATGTTATTTAAGACAGACATACAGACATCAACTCTCTGAGCACTTTGTCCTAAGGTGAGCTAAAAATCCACATTTCGCTGCTTTGTTAAGTACAGGCACCGATGCATAACCAAGAATTTTAGCATGCTCAAATAAGTGAAAGTTTGGTTGATGATGGAAAATATCCCCCCAAGTAACACATGTATGTACACATTACAACTCACCACTTTCTTTGCACGAGTTACTGCTGCTGTATGACTGACTGGTTTTGTGTTCACTGGAGCAGGTTTGGTTTTCACAGGGTGTACCTAAGTAAAAGACAAATATCAATAATGATTAATTTTCTTTTTCACACAATGATTACCATTGGTTGATTTGCAGTATTTGTATTTACCTAACCAGTATCAAAATTTAACAAGAATTGTGTTGCTAAAAATGTATGCCCCCTATCAAGCAAATAGCACATATCAATGTGACTAAGGTAATGATGCATGACTTCCTTACCCAGTGATCAAACAAATTAATATGAGGTTAATCAGTATCTTACTGCGTCATGAAACCTTTGACCTTTGACCCCTTGACCCAAAACTCAATAGGGGTCATCTGCTGGTCAAGACAAATCAGATCATCCATACAAAGTTTGAAAGTTCCTAGGCCTAAGCGTTTCTACTTTATTGATCAGAATACGTTTTTACTTACAAGGTCAATGTGACCTTTGACCTTTGACCCCCTGACCAATAGGGGTCATTTTGCTGGTCATGACTAATCACCATGCCAAGTTTGAAGTTCCTAGGCCTAAGGGTTCTTTTATTATTGATCCGAAACCCTTTTAACATACAAGGTCAATGTGACCTTGACTTTGACCCCAAAATCAATAGGGCGTCATCTGCTGATCATGACCAATCACTATGCCAAGTTTGAAGTTCCTAGCCGAAGTGTTCTTTAGTTATTGATCAGAAACCGTTTTTACTACAAGGTCAATTGACCTTGACCTTTGACCCGCCTTGATCCCAAAACGAAAGGGTTAATCTGCTGGTCATGAACAATCACCATACCCAAGTTTGAAAGTTCCTAGGCCTAAGCGTTCTTAAGTTATTTGATCAGAACCGTTTTTACTTACAAGGTCGAATGTGACTTGACCTTTGACCCCTTGACCCAAAACTCAATTAGGGGTCATCTGCTGGTCACCACCAATCATCATACAAAGTTTGAAGTTCCTAGGCCTAAGCGTTTTTTAGTTTAATTGATCGGAAACCGTTTTTTACCTACAAGGTCAATGTTACATGACCTTTGACCCCTTGACCCTAAAACACAATAGTTCATCTGCTGGTCATGACCAATCACCATACCAAGTTTGAAGTTCCTAGGCCTAAGGGTTCTTAAGTTATTGATCGGAAAGCATTTTTACATACAAGGTCAATGTGACCTTTCCCTTTGACCCTTAACCCCAAAATCAGTAGGGGTCATCTGCTGGTCATGACCAATCACCATACCAAGTTTGAAGTTCCTAGGCCTAAGGGTTCTTTAGTTATTGATCGAAAAACTGCTTTTACCTAAGAGGTCAATGTGACCTTGACCTTTGACCCCCTTGACCCCAAAATCAATAGGGTCATCTACTGATCATGACCAATCACCATACCAAGTTTGAAAGTTCCTAGGCCTAAGGGTTCTTTAGTTATTGATCCGAACTGTTTTTACCTAAGAGCCGTCAATGTGACCTTGACCTTTGACCCCTTGACCCCAAAATCAATAGGGTCATCTTACTGATCATGACCAATCACCATATCAGAGTTTGTAGTCCCTAGGCCTAAGGGTTCTTTCGTTATTGATCGGAAAACCGTTTTTACCTACAAGGTCAATGTGACCCTTGACCTTTGACCCTTAACTCCAAAATCAATAGGGGTCATCTACTGATCATGACCAATCACCATATCAAGTTTGAAGTCCCTAGGCCTAAGGGTTCTTTTCGTTTATGATCGGAAACCGTTTTTACCTACAAGGTCAATGTGACCTTGACCATTGACCACTTAACCCCAAAATCAATAGGGGTCATTCTGCTGGTCATAACCAATCACCATACCAAGTTTGAAGTTCCTAGGCCTAAGGGTTCTTTTGTTATTGATCGGAAACCGTTTTTACCAAGAGGTCAATGTGACCTGACCTTTGACCCCTTGACCCCAAAATCAATAGGGTCATCTACTGATCATGACCAATCACCATACAAGTTTGAAGTTCCTAGGCCTTAAGGTTCTTTACTTATTGATCGGAAACCGTTTTTGCTTACAAGGTCAATGTGACCTTGACCTTTGACCCCTTTGACCCCAAGAATCAAAAGGGGTCATCTACTGGATCATGACAAATCACCATACCAAAGTTTGAAGTTCCTAGGCCTTAAGGTTCTTTTAGTTATTGATCGGAAACCGTTTTTGCTTACAAGGTCTCAATCCATCGACCTTGACCTTTGACCCCCTTGACCCCAAAATCAATAGGGGTCATCTACTTGTCTATGACCAATCACCATACCAAGTTTGAAGTTCCTAGGCCTTAAGGTTCTTTAGTTACTTGATCGGAAACCGTTTTTGCTTACAAGGTCAATGTGACCTTACCTTTGAACCCCTTGAACCCAAAAATCAATAGGGGTCATCTACTTGTCGATGACCAATCACCATACCCAAGTTTGAAGTTCCTAGGCCTAAGGGTTCTTTAGTTATCACTCGGAAACCATTTGGTCTACGGACCGACGGACCGACGGACCGACAGACCGACGGACCGACAAGTGCAAAGCAATATACCCCCTTTTCTTCGAAATGGGGGCATAACAATTGATATTTCTTAAAACAAGCTGAATAGCAAAATGGGCAACTGGTTACTGGTATTTAAAGAGGGATTATGCTGGCATCAATATTTATTTTCATCATTCACAATAATTGATAAAGAAATTTCTGGTCATGTGACATGCCAGCTGACAATGATTATTCTGGAATGAATGAAAATGTAAGCATACAAAGGTAAGCATACAAATTGTTACAAAGAAACATCATGTAAACAACTGATTGGAATCTAAACTTGCTTTGTCAATATATACATCACTTCATATATAAAATATGTAAGGTTTTGCATGACTTGGTATGCTGAATATGAGATGTTAAGTCACTCACAGTCACTATTTTCAGTTACAGTATCAGGGCTCTACAAATTTTTTTGGAATAGAGTTGTCCAGGACAACTGACCTAGCAAAATAGAGTTGTCCCAAAATTGACCACAAGTGTCCAAGTCTCGGTAAATGTTTAGTATGCGTAGTATCAATATCCAAGAAGAAGTAAAAACAATTAATTTTTTAATATTTTTAAGTTACATTAAGTATTTCATTTAGTATAAAATAGAACATTTTGTTTCAACTGAAATAGTTTTGATTGTTCAGCTCTCTTCCCAGGTACCTTTTAGCACTGTTCAAGTTCAATAGCCTGTGTATGCTTATATGTTTGTTTCAGGTTGTTTTTTTTCCCTGGATTTTTATCCTTGATCTTAAAAATTTAAGTAAAATTATTCTAACATGAATCTAGTTAACCATAGCCTCTCTCAGTTTCCACATTTCACATTGGACATGGTAAATAAGAACAAGAGCCATGTCAACATGGCCATCCCCCGCCGAATGTGTTTGCTCATTGGAAGAATGTATATGTAGTAGAGCAGAATAATTCCATTTTAAGAGGTCTTTTGGTAATGAAAACTGATGGCTATAGTGATTACAGATTTGAAACCTATGTGAATACTCATGGCTGAAAATAACAAAGGGCAATTACTGAAAAATAATGCAGGGTAGGTTATCATTCTTGTGTGCTGCATCCCTCCTCAGTAAAATCTATCCACCTATGAAGTTTCAAGTTGATACCTCAAATACTTTTTGAGAAAAAAATTGAATTGAAAAATTAAGTATGAAAACTAACAAAGGGCAATAACTCAAACATTATGAAAGGTAGAGTTATCATTCTTGTGCAGTGCACACCTCTTTAGTGAGATCTATGCACCTATGAAGTTTCATTTTGATATCTCAAAGGCTTTTTGAGTTATGCTCTGGACAAAAAATAATTTTGAAAAATAACAAAGGGCAATTACTCAAAAATAATGCAGGGTAGAGTTATCATTCTTAAGCATTGCACTCCTCCTCAATGAGATCCATCCACCTTTGAAGTTTCAAGTTGATACCTCAAATACTTTTTGAGATAAGCTCTGCAAAGGGCAATAATTCAAAAATTGTATAGGGAAGAGTTATCATTCTTGCGCACAACATTCCTCCTCAATAAGATCTATCCACCTATGACATTTCATGTTGATATCTCAAACACTTTTTGAGTTATGCTCAACTCAGTTGAAAAATTAGGTATGAAAAATAACAAGAGGGCCATGATGGCCCTGAGGTCGCTCACGCTGTATATAGCCACCCCCCCAGCCCAATTTTTAACCCAAGGGCTCTTTTTATTTTGTTTATTGAACAGAACTTGGGAGACATACCATAAAGAAGATGTTTTCATGGCAAAACATCCAAGTTCCTAACTCACATTGGGTTTTTTTAAAAGAAGAATTTTTTAAAGTTTTTAACTGATAGCACATATAGTTAAAAACAATGGACACCCCTCGGGCAGGGCCAGTTTTGACCCCTGGGCCTTTTTTTATTTGAACAAACTTTGTAGATATTTACTTAAAGATGTTTCTGCTTAATATCTAAACTCTAGTTATTTTGGGTTTTTTCAAAGAAGATTTCTTAAGTTTTTTGCTATGTATATAAGGAAAATCAATGGACCCCCTGGGCGGGGCCAGTTTTGACCCCAGGGCCTTTTTATGTTGAACACTACTTGGTAGACAACCATTAGAAACATGTCTCATGCTAAATATCTTATCTCTAGCTCTTTGGGTTCTTTAAAAGAAGATTTTATAAGTTTTTACTATATGCATATAAGGAAAATCAATGACCCCTGGGGCGGGCCAATTTTGACCCCAGGGCTTTTATTTGAACAAACTTGGTAGACATTCACTAGAAGATGTTTCATGCCAAATATCTAGCTCTAGCTCTTCACGATTCTTTAAAAGAAGATTTTTAAGTTTTTCTATATGCATATAGGGAAAATCAATGACCCCCTGGGGCGGGGCCAATTTTTACCCCAGGGCTTTTATTTGAACGAATTTTGTAGACACTTATTAGAAGATGTTTCATGCCAAATATCTTATGCTCCAGCTCTTTGGGTTCTTTAAAAGAAGATTTTTAAGTTTTAAACTTTAATGCATATAGGGGAAAATCAGATGACCCCCGGGGCGGGGCCAATTTTTGACCCCCAGGGCTTTTATTTGAACAAACTTGGTAGACATTCACTAGAAGATGTTTCATGCCAAATATCTAAGCTCTAGCTCTTACAGTTCTTTAAAAGAAGATTTTTAAGTTTTTACTATATGCATATAGGGAAAATCAAATGACCCCCTGGGGCGGGGCCAATTTTGACCCCAGGGCTTTTATTTGAACAAACTTGGTAGACACTCATTAGAAGAAGTTTTCATGCCAAATATCTAAGCTCTAGCTCTTAGGGTTGTTTAAAAGAAGATATTTAAAGATTTTTCTTTCGGTTGCCATGGCAACCAGAGTTCTGCATGGAATTAAATTCTTTGAACAATTTTTAAAGGTGACCACCAAAGGAACATTCCTGTGAAGTTTGGATGAAATTGGCTCAGTGGTTTATGAGGAGATGTCATTTAAAGCAAAAGTTTACGGACGGACGACGGACGGACGACGGACGGACGGACGCCGGACGAAAAGCGATCACAAAAGCTCACCCTGTCACTTTGTGACAGGTGAGCTAACAAAGGGCAATAACTCAAAAATTATGAAAGGTAGAGTTATCATTCTTGTGCAGTGCATACCTCCTGAGTGAGATCTATGCACCTATGAAGTTTCATGTTAATATCTCATAGGCTTTTGGAGTTATGCTCTGGACAAAAATCAATTTTGAAAAATAACAAAGGGCAATAACTCAAAAATCATGCAAGGTAGAGTTATCATTCTTGTGCACTGCACTCCTCCTCAATGAGGTCTATCCACCTATGAAGTTTCAAGTTGATTACTCAAATACTTTTAGAGATATGCTCCGGACAAAAATGTTGGAAGGAAGGACGGACGGACGGAAGGTCGGACAGACGGAGACTATTTCTATATCCTCCGCCGAAAATTTTCGGCGGGGGATAAAAAGACAGTCATTATTACCCAGTAGGGAAATATAAAATATGATAGTGAATTAGAGTTTTGACTATTCAAATACTTACAAATCTCATCATTATTTATCTTAACATTGTCAAAAGTCCTTAAATTTGATTCATAAGTAACAAAAGATTTTTAATATTTCTACTTGCTGCAGAGCTTTAAACTGATTAAAACTGGCTCACAATTTATATTAAAAAAAATCGGCATCGCGAAAATATGTGACAAATGAAAAATTTTCTGTTTTCCTCATAAATTATACTATTTTGACTATTGTATGTTCGAATGCGTTCATATTTAAATAGATCCTTTTTGGATATTTTAATATTGTTTTCCACTTAGGAATTCATCAAAAAGCCTAAAACAAAAAAATTCCAAATTTTCAATTCACGGCACAAATTACTGTCTGCTTATGTCAATATATCAACTTCAAAGACTAAGTCTGTGACTTAATAGTGTTTTGGACATGTCCTTTATAATGTTGGACTTTGTCTTTAAGATTTTTATCAAATATTTTAGTGTCTTATCTATTTTTATTGCCTGTGGCAATGTAAAATTAATCAGCGTAGCAACTGCTGAGATTGATTGCCTCAGGTGAAGATTACCGGCGCACCATGCTGTGAAGGGTCATATTAATAAACATAATTTTACTGTTGTCCAAGATTAGCATCTGTCAAAAATTTGACTTGTCCGGGACTAACTTTCTGCTTATTGTCAGTTGTCCCAAGTGGTTTTAGAGTTGTCCCGGAAGTCAGACTATAGATTTGTAGAGCCTTGAGTATATTGTTTCATGAAGTAACCTGACAACTTACCTTTGTGACTGTTCTGTACAGGTCCCTGTCACAATGGTCAACAAATCTGCTTACATGAAAGACAGGTTTTGTTGTTTTTTTAGCTTCCTTCATGATTTAAGCACTGTAAAAATTATATATTAAAATCATACATGTTATCAAAATTACTAACAGATTCTAATTCTATGTTTTGTTTCACAGTTTGACTTTGATTCTATTTTGATTTTATTCACATTATTAAAAATTATAATGGATCTGATCATCTTTCACTTGTACTGTGTATTTATTCATAAAATCAGTAACTTTACTAAATCAATTAATTCAAAGGCCAAAACAATAAAATTAGCAATATATTTAATTACGATGGTCGGCTATCAGTTTTTACGATGGTCGGCTATCACTTTAGAAACTACACATGAACTAGATCTTATCAGGTCTAGGATTTCATAATATTTATGGACTGTCCGTAAATTTATAGACAGTCTCGAAATTTAAAGATTTTTCAATCCATAAATTTACAGATATTCAATGTGAAATTTGCTGTTTTTAGTTTTACAATAAAATCCGCAGCTTAAGACAAGTTGTTTTATTGTTTGTTAATATTTACAGTAGGGTGAACGTGTCAGTTTACACGTAAAACGCACGTTACACGCTATACGAACGCATGATACATGCTATACGAACGCACGTTATACGCCCTGAAAGTTTCAACCTCAATTTTCTAACCACCTTTTTTTCAATTTGATAAATATATAATTATAATAACAAGAGGGCCATGATGGCCCTGAGGTCGCTCACCTGTATATGCCCCCCCCCCCCACCCGGGCCAATTTTTACCCAAGGGCTTTATTTGTTTATTTAAACAGACTTAGTAGACACCCATAAGAAAATGTTTCATGCTAAACATCTAAGTTCTTGCTCATTGGGTTTTTAAAAGAAGATTTTTAAAGTTTTTACTATACACATATAGTTAAAAACAATGACACCCCTGGGGCAGGGCCAGTTTTGACCCCCGGGCCTTTATTTGAACAAACTTTGTAGATATTTACTTAAAGATGTTTCATGCTTTATTATCTAAACTCTAGCTATTTGGGTTTTTTCAAAGAAGATTTTTAAGTTTTTGCTATACACAGATAAGGAAAATCAATGACCCCCCCCCCGGGGCGGGGCCAGTTTTGACCCCAGGGCTTTTATTTGAACATACTTGGTAGACACCCATTAGAACATGTTTCATGCTAAATATCTTAGCTCTAGCTTATTGAGTTCTTTAAAAGAAGATTTTTTAAGTTTTTACTATATGCATATAGGGAAAATCAATGACCCCCTGGGGCTGGGCCAATTTTGACCCCAGGGCTTTTATTTGAACAAACTTGGTAGACACTCATTAGAAGATGTTTCATGCTAAATATCTTAGCTCTAGCTCTTTGGGTTTTTTAAAAGAAGATTTTAAGTTTTTACTATATATGCATATAGGGAAAATCAATGACCCCCTGGGGCGGGGCCAATTTTGACCCCAGGGCTTTTATTTGAACAATATTGGTAGACACTCATTAGAAGATGTTTAATGCTAAATATCTTACCTCTAGCTCTTTGGGTTCTTTAAAAGAAGATTTTTTAAGTTTTTACTATATGCACATAGGGAAAATCAATGACCCCCTGGGGCGGGGCCAATTTTGACCCCAGTGCCTTTATTTGAACAAACTTGGTAGACACTCCCTACAAGATGTTTCATGCTTAATATCTAAGCTCTAGCTCTTACGGTTCTTTAAAAGAAGATTTTTTAAGTTTTTACTATATGCATATAGGGAAAATCAATGACCCCCCGGGGCGGGGCCAATTTTCACCCCAGGGCTTTTATTTGAACAAACTTGGTAGACACTCACTAGAAGATGTTTCATGCCAAATATCTTAGCTCTAGCTTTTACGGTTCTTTAAAAGAAGATTTTTTAAGTTTTTACTATATGCATATAGGGAAAATCAATGACCCCCTGGGGCGGGCCAATTTTGACCCCAGGGCTTTTATTTGAACAAACTTGGTAGACACTCACTAGAAGATATTTCATGCCAAATATCTAAGCTCTAGCTCTTAGGGTTGTTTAAAAGAAGATATTTAAAGATTTTTCTTTCGGTTGCCATGGCAACCAGAGTTCTACATGGAATTAAATTCTTTGAACAATTTTTAAAGGTGACCACCAAAGGAACATTCCTGTGAAGTTTGGATGAAATTGGCTCAGTGGTTTATGAGGAGATGTCATTTAAAGCAAAAGTTTACGGACGGACGACGGACGACGGACGGACGACGGACGGACGGACGGACGCCGGACGAAAAGCGATCACAAAAGCTCACCCTGTCACTTTGTGACAGGTGAGCTAAAAACCATGCATTATGGGTTATAATATATTCTAACATGACCCGCATTTACCCTATTGAACATAGAAGAACAGAAAGTGTGTGTTATTATGCAACAGATGCACAGTTTGACGTTCTATATTTAGACATGTGACGTAATCATTATACACGTGACGTAACCACTAAAAATCTGACGCGCTGAAAATAAGTACGGAAACAAATCAGGCACAAATTTGCTTAACTATCAAGTACGGCAACATTTATTTGTTGATGTCGTGTTAGAATCGAAATAATATATCCAAAATTTTAATCAGTGATTTTATCGCTTGATAACATCACTAATTGTCGTTCGAATGTGCATCATTATATCACTCAGGCTACACCCTCGTGATATAATTCCTCGCATCCGAACTCAAAACAGTGAAGTTATTGAGCGATAAAATCACTGTTTGGGATATATTATTTCTTATATATTAAGGGTGTAACGGTTTACCGGTATACCGATATATTGCAATATGAAAAAATAAATTTCGAACCGCGGTATGATTTTTGGAAAACCGGTATTTTATAAAAAATCATAATTTTCCATTAATTGCCTTCTAATTTTTATGGTGGCATATTTTTGCCACCAGATAACCATATAACTAAATAGTTAATTATCAGGTTAACTAGTTAAGTAACTATAGTTAACCTCTTAATTAACTAGTAAATTATCAGGTTAACTAGTTACGTAACTAGATAACCTCTTAATTAACTAGTTAGGTATTAGGTTAACTAGTTACGTAACTAGTTAACCTCTTAATTAACTAGTTAGATATCAGGTTTACTAGTTACGTAACTAGTTAACCTCTTAATTAACTAGTAAGTTATCAGGTTATCTGGTGGCAGAAATATGCCACCATAAATTTTGTACAAATTTCACATAAAATCTTTAATTGGCAAATTTTGTTGGCGCCAACGTAAGATAAAAGTATCCGACAATTAGTACACTTAAAAGTCAATAAGCGGCCGCAAACTTTACATAAGTGGCCCAGATGTGAAGGTCACATGTGACTAGTTTTGTTTATCAAATTGTGTGACACTACTTTCTATTTATTCCTTACATTTTTATTAAGTTTCTACTAAAAATATTTACATATAATAATAATATATAAATGTTACTCCATCTTTACATCAAAACATACACGACAATACGTATTGCAATACTTCAGCAAAATGGCAATATATTGCAATACGGTTTTTGCTGTATTGTTACACCCCTATTAAATATATATCAGAGCTCCAGATAGCGTGCGTATAAGTGTAAAATACGCATAGAAAATCTAAAATACGCATCACTTTCAAAATTTGTGCGTCACAGTTACGCACAACAAAATGAAAGTATGCTCGTATATCAAAATTTATGCGTAAAAGAAGAGAAGTGCACATTTGATATGTAGAAAGAAAATGTTTTGAGCATAAAAATACAATATATTTCCATTTTATTGCATTAAAAAAAAACTAAAAATTCTGTTGTCAACAACGCATGTTAAAAACGAAAGTAGCAGGAAATACAGAAGGGAGGTAACTCCCGTAGATCTATCAACCTGTGAAATTATCAGATAATCATCGTAGGAGTTAACACAGTATTAAGTTTGTTCAATAGGCATCTATTGACATACTTACAGTACGCTCACCGCGGGTTTTGCTTTTTCTGCGATACCACCGCGGACGATTTTTTTTTATCGCGGACAAACGCGGGGGTTCGTCCGCGATGAAAGCCTAATTTCCCCCGTGATCCCCGGTGTTCAGTTGTTTCCACCGCGGACAAAATTCTGACATCCGTTCTTCATTGGTCGATAAAATCAGTCACCCGTTTTCCGCGGGGGAACGCCAAGGTCAGTTGGTCAGTATAAATTAACCTCCAAAAATAATAAACGTTTTATTATTTTTTAACGTCATCATTTTTACACAATGACTTGAAAATTGACCTAAATCGTCCCCTTAAATGTTATTATACGTTAAATTTTTTGAACGGAATTTGAAATGAAAGTAATTACAGCTGTACCTGTTTTTGTTGTAGTTTTTAATATTTTTGTTATAAACGTCCACAAAACTATTCGTCCACATACCAATATTTTTTACAACTGAAATCGTCTTTTATCACTGTCATCTTTACTTTTTCATTCCTTGTGGTTCTCATAGTATTATTGCTGTTTAAACTATATGGGAGCCATAAATATGAAACTTAGTATCTAGAAATGTGTCGATAGGACACGGATGCCCCCACACGCCACTGTTCTGTCAATCTTATGACTCTAGGTCAAATATTTTTTGGACTACATGTGCCACAAGTTGAAAACTAAAAATCAACAAAGGGCCATAATTCTGTTAAATTTGGTCGCAGCAAAAATTCCTTCCTTTACTACCATCTACACATTAAGGTTGTAAACCCCTGGAAGTTTAAGCAAAATCTGCCCTCCGGTTTAAGAGGAGTTGCGTTCACAAAATTTCTACATAGTATATAATGAAAAAATCAAAAAAGGGCCATAATTCTGTAAAATTTGGTTGCAGCAAAAATTCCTTTCTTTACTGCCATCTACACATTAAGGTTGTTCATCCCTGGAAGTTTAAGCAAAATCTGCCATCCGGTTTAAGAGGAGTTGCATTCACAAAATTTCTACATAGTATATAGTGAAAAAATCAACAAAGGGCCATAATTCTGTAAAATTTGGTCGCAGCGAAAATTCCTTCCTTTACTACCATCTACACCTGAAGGTTGTTCATCCCTGTAAGTTTAAGCAAAATCTGCCATCCGGTTTAAGAGGAGTTGCGTTCACAAAATTTCTATATAGTATATAGTGAAAAAATCAACAAAGGGCCATAATTCTGTTAAATTTGGTTGCAGCAAAAATTCCTTCCTTTACTACCATCTACACATTTAGGTTGTTCATCCCTGTAAGTTTAAGCAAAATCTGCCATCCGGTTTAAGAGGAGTTGCGTTCACAAAATTTCTACATAGTATCTAGTGAAAAAATCAACAAAGGGCCATAATTCTGTTAAATTTGGTCGCAGCGAAAATTCCTTCCTTTACTACCATCTACACATTAAGGTTGTTCATCCCTGTAAGTTTAAGCAAAATCTGCCATCCGGTTTAAGAGGAGTTGCGTTCACAAGATTTCGGGACGTACGGACTGACTGACGGACGGACAAGTGCAACGCTATATGCTCCCACATTGTGGGGGCATAAAAAGGACATTTGTGCTGATTTCTCAATGATGACTGACGCTACAGTACATGTCCTGTAAGAGGTCGATGAGTGTGAATACAAGACAAGACATAAATAAATTACATGTACATATCTAAGAAATAAAAGAAAAAGATATTTAAACCATCTATAAGATTTTATTTGTATGCAATTATATTCTTTAAC